GAGTGCAGCAGATTTTTTTTATTTTTTTATCTAAAGTGCAATGTTTAAGAATTTTTTTGGCGGAGAGTTTGGTTTGATACAGCAATTCCATTGGGCGTGGGAAATTTTTGAAAAGAGCATGAAAAAAATGTTTCAACCTCTGTCAATCACTGAAAAATTGTCCGAATTACATTCGGTTTGGACAGGGTGGCTTGTTTTTTTGCGTAGAATTGATTTCTGAAATAAAAAAGTAGGGGTGCCATTTGAAAAGTTCGACTTACGTGTGGGGCACCCCCCGCCATGCGCCCCTCCCGCGGTTTGGGAAAATGTCAAATACGCCAAAAGGTGTCCCCCTCGATATTAATGAACACGTCTTTTACCGCTGCCGAAATTCCGACGCGTTCGGCAGATATTCAAGGTGGCTCGTTTTTCGTGAGACACCCTGTATAAAAAGCTCTTTTCGTGTTAGCCATCAACCCTTTTCCTACATACTACATGTCCAAATGATAAACACAACGTTCATTCGATAATCAAAATTCGATCAGTTCTTTAATTTGGCTATTGATGTTTGATTGATTTTAAAGTTTTCACAGGAGGTCTAACAAACACATGAATGTATTTTTACCTTCGACATTCTTATCCATGATTTTATCTAGATTTCCTTTACTTTGATACTCAAAAACATTTGTCTTGAAAGTTTCATTTCTGCTCACCTTCACCTGATCAAAAAAGTTGATTTAAAACCAGTGATGGATAAAGTAGAAAGTTATTTTACATTTTAAAAATCCCAACATTGGTCCTGATATTTACTGTAATTCACCATAACAATGAGTCAGTTAAGTCATTTTTTTTTTTATTGTGTCATTCGAAAGTAGTAAGTGACCGGAGCTTACAGTTTTTTTCCTAGATTTTTTTGATGACTGCAAACGGGAGAAAAGTTTATTCGAAAGTGCCAAAAATTAGGGTGGCCTAAAACGGCGTTTGAACTGCGCGCTCGTAGGTTCCGCATGTACACGTCACGATCAACATGGCGGCGGAATGCGTAGTGGAAGAATACACGGCGGCGACGCGTTGGCGGTATGTTTTTGTTGGTCAATTGGAGGTTATGTCGGTTACTTTGTTTGAGATTCATATCCATTGTTCTTAATTCTCTAGGCTTTTCAATCAGAATGCGATACAGGTGTATGTAGGATATCGACGGTGAAATTACCAAACCACGTATCTCGTTTGCGGTGTTTAAAAATCTACGCTCACATTTTATTTTTTTGAAATAGACCAAATCAATATCATTCCTTGAAATTTTCACAGAATTTTCTTCGCACGAAGAGGAAAAATCACAGAAATTCTCAAGACTGGACATTAAGTAGTTTTTCATTTGAAAAATAAAGTATGACAGGAAGTCTGCGACGTCGCAAACTGAGATACGTGGTTTGGCAGTTTCACCATCGATATGAAACATTCACACAGAACTTACTTAACCTCAAACGAGAAATCGTGATGTCAACAACGGCGGCGTGGCGGCAGTAAGCAGGTTGGTTTCGTCGCCGCCATCTTCCCGTTTATGACGCGGAGATGCGGAGATTCACGGCGGTCGGTTCAAACACGTTTTCGAGGACCCCTAAAAAGGAAGCGTTATATCTCCGCGGAAACAATTTTTCTTGTTTTAACCTGCGCATTGTTCTTCTCGTACCGAAAACTGTAAGATGCGACTATTTGCAGGCAAATCCCTCCCGAGCTTAACTGACTCAGCGCCCTTAACTTTTCTCATTCTGTGACTGGCAGTGTCAAGGCTTTTTTAGAGTTTTTTGCTGGGTTGGTGGTATCTGTTACCGTAGATCTGAGCTTTACACTCAACTCGAGTACTTATTCCACAAAAACCAAACGACGCTGGAGGCTTTTGATGCTATACAATCAATTAATGTGTTTCTAAGCTATGCGCTGCTAATCTTTTGTTACGAACGCACATCTGATTTCACAGACTTGTCGCGACAGGCCAATGTTCAATACTCACTGCTCACAAGATACGTACCCATGAAAAAGGCACAGCTCATTCTGTGCAGCATGATGGCAGTGAAAAACATGCTTACATTGTGAGTATTGTAAGGCTCATGCGGGAGAAATGTTCAAAATGATATCTGACCAAGGAAGAAAGAAAATTACATGAGAAAGAGAAGAGGAACTTGTGATTAACAAGTGTGGCTACTTTAAACTAACGTACAGTAAGTATTCACCCTTATCTCTCTCAGTGTTATTCAGATTACTGGATAATTCAGAAAAGAGGCACATCTCAAAGCGACAATTTTGATTGCATCTGTACCCATGTTTGGATGCAAGTTCAATTTTGGAGGCAAATAGGCAAATGAAAGAGGAAAGCAATGATTAGATTTCCTATGAAATGAAATTTGGAACAATCTATAATCAAACAATTTCTGACTCAAACATACATAGCCATTCCGACACGTAAAAAGTATGCGATAATGACTCAAGAGCATGGAAACAAAGCAACTATCTTTCTCTTTTTTGAAATCAAAAGATTGGTGGGTGATTTCAAGTTTTTTGTAGAAATTTAGATAAATTCTCATCCAAAAGAAAAGAGATGGCATATTTGGAGAAAACATCATTATTACAATCTGAATCCATCCTGCGCACTAGCACTACTTTCTGCTGATTTTGAGACAGCAAATCATTCTAAATTTTTGGGAAATGTTATTAAATTGATTCTTGGGAATGATAAAATTTGAAATTTTCCTACGACTATGTCAGTAACGTCCTCGCTTAGCGAGGATTCATTTGATCCAGAGGTTAAAAGATTTAAAGCATAGGCATGCTGAGACAATGTTACATTACAAAATTCCTTTCTTTCATTCTTTCCTAACACAAATTAAAGCGGCTCTCTTCATCTTAAGTAAAGAGAAATTCTGTTTTTGGTGTATGGACCACCATATGAAATGTATTTTATTGAAATATTAGTAAAGAACAAAAATAGGGTGAACAATTTAGACAGCTTCTTATATATGTGAGATCAGAATATATTAAAACATCAGCTAAAAACTATTTCTCATCTAGTTTCCTAATTCTAAGAAATAGCTTTTCAAGAAGTTTCGGAAGTTACAGCTACAAAAAAGATCTTTCGAACGAATCTTCTGCAAAGAAGCAAAGTAGAATTAGACCAATCAACTCTGATAAAAATGATACCAACATGAGAAGCACTAAGAGAATCATTTTTACAGATCTTGTGGATTGAATAAGCTGTTAAGAAGAGAAATTAAAGGAATTGGTCAGTCGCACATGGACAAAAGACAGCAACATACACATGCATATGCAATTTCAAAGTTTTATTTGGTTTCCAAGCAAAGGAGGTCAAATTTTACAGGATGACTTAAAATCGGTCAACATTTGACAAAAGTCGAAGCAACATCGCAATGGCAATGTCGTGAAATAAAGTGCAATTCTAACAAGAAAGTGAAAAAATCAATGAAAACATACGTAAATCAATACTTGGCTCTTACAGCTATCATTTTTAAAAAAAGGGAGGGGGAGAAGGGTAGTTAAAATTTTAAATTTCATTTTGAGGGTCTTGATGTTTCATTTCTTCTTTCCTGTGACTTCGATTATTTTTGGGGATCTCAATCAATAAGATAAATTATCATGTAGAAATTTCAAACAGAAAGATCAACTTCGAAAATATACTGATACTGACTACTTTTCAAGGAATTTTGGATCCTATTTAAGACTGCGTCAATTCAGAGGAGCCATTCTTATTCAGGTACTATGAGTGGGAGCCAATTGATGAGATGCTAGACAGAAAAGGATACAGCAGAATCAACTGATGAAATCAAGAAGACCGTTCAGGCACATTTAAATATTTTGCTCTGGGAATTTTTTCTCGTCTCTCTACTATTAAAAGTAACCTTACCTAGAATCTTTCAACCTAATTTAGAGTGAAAAAGCTATACACTATGAAAATACTTTTCATGAAAGCTGTAAATTTGCTGTCCTTCATTTTCTGAGGCCTATCCAAAATGAGTTCACACTTGAGGATTTGTCTTCGAATTTTTCTTTCAAGATTAATAGGTTGAGCTAGGTCAAAGTAATACACCTTACACCATTACAGTTCATGATCAAATTGTTGAGAGAGTAATTTATACAGCCAAAACCGGCAATGACAAAGAAATATGATAAATACAGACAAAAAAAAAAAAAAAAAACAGGAGAAATAGATGAATTTCAAAATGTCTGAATATGCCAAGTCTGAGGATTTTACTTCATTGAATGATCAAAAAGGAAACTCTTAAATTTGGAAATTATTTACTTAAGTTTTACATCCTCAAAATTTAAACTCCTTTGTAATTTATCCGCTTACTGTTTACATCTTTCTATAAATGATGGTAGAGCAGCGGGAGTGGGAAAGAAAGGGGGGGGGGACATCAATTGAGATCGAACATGAGCTACACTTAATAAACATGTCACAATGTGGAAGCAAATGTACGGCAGAGGGGGACGGGGCATCAAAACATATGAGTGAACGCACAATCTGAGAACATTACTTTCTATAGCATGATTTAAAGACTTAAAAAATTGATGAATAAATAAATACAAATAAAAGGCAGAAATACTACATCTTTGTAATGCTTCATCAGCAAGGGCAAATATTAGTAGAATTTTGGGCAAAATAGTTTGGCAAACTTGGTACAGTCAAGGATAATCTCACTACTTTGTTTAACCAACTATTGATATTGGCAGAATAATTTTACCTACATACTTAAAGCCATTGAAATTGTTTCCCCTACAGTTTCCTATTGAATTCAAAGCCGAGCACATTCCAAGTAAGATTATGCTGTTATTTCTTGGTTAGAAATTCACTTACTGACTGCTCTTTAAATCACACAAATTCACAATAATTGAAAAATATATAAACTTATGTACAGAGTTTCTACAGCAGAACCCTTTACGACAATTTTCCTACAAGATAAACACAATTACACATTAAATTACGATATAACCAGAAAAAATTAGTATAACAATATAGTATTATTCAACAAAAAGAGAATTGCACCTCTATACGCACTGAAATCTCATTTGAAGGGAGTAAGGAGGGAAATTAAGGATCCTTCAAGGAGGAAGAAAACTGAAAGACAAAGTAGTTCCTTGAAAAGAAAACAAAGGCCTAGCACGATTTTCTCCGCATAGGTAGCTCATTCAACAAATCTGAAAACTGAAGAAGAGATAGTGGGTGTTGGGATTGCAAGAAAAGCTGAGTCTTTCCTCACAACTTATCAGAGGAAATAATTTAGATCAATAATTTCGATGAACTAGGTGTTTGTAGAGATCAAAAAGACTCTTCTTAGATTTTTCACTCAATAATCGGATATGAGATGCAGATGAGAACAAAATATATCTCAAGATCATACTAAACTGCCACTTTTTGGATTAGTTTGCCTTTTTGCCTTCAATTACATGAGATGAAATTCTAGAAAGTCGAAAAGCTAAGCAAACTATTGCTAGTCATTCTCCGATTTATGGCAAGAGAAAAAACAATTACAAGGATGGGAAAGCAAGAAAAAAGGTGTATTCTGGCTTGCAATAATTGGGTCAACCTCCAGACACTAGAGAAACTAACACATTTTTTCTTTGAAATAAAAATGACAAGAAAATTAAAAAACTCCCGTTTACAAAATTAAATTAAAACCTCTGACACGTTTTGCGGCTCCCCAGCCCCTTCTTCAAGAATAAATTCTGACTGCAGCAATTGGAATTCAGCCTTGAAGAAGGAGCTGGGAAGCCACAAAATGCGTGGGCAGTTTTAATTGAAATGTGAGTTATGAGTTTTTTTATTTTCCAGTTTGCTTTGTTTAATTTATTTGCTCATAGTTCCTTACCATGGTTTCCACCTTGATGTGTTTCCTTTTTTGTTACTTTCGGGTTCACACATTTTTTCTTTCCTTGTATTGACGAGCATACTGCAGGAAACTTCAATATTTAAAACGCAATACTTCATTGCATTGGAATCCATTTTACAATGCGAAACTACAAATCCTGACTCATTTAAGAGACAACAAATGTGTAATTAGTTTCTTCACGCAAATAGTGCTTTTGTGGATGAGACAGAGACAGTGGTTCCTCATTTCAAAATGTACTCTAAATGTCTCTTCAGTTTAAGGCTTCGAGATGAAACCAGAGAAAAATAAAGCGCTTGAGACCTAGGTACGACTCAAAACCCTGATGAAAAAAGGACAGAGAGAGATAAGAGGTCATGCACTACAATTACAGCATGTAAAAAGAGTTAAATCATATAATAAATGCGACTGCTATGAGTAACATAATTTCACAGCATGAATACCTTCCGAAATGATGATTTGCATTCGATTCACTGTGAAATTTTTGGCTGAGCAATGAAAATTTAAAGAAGTGCCGATTAAATTCAAATCTTTGATCTTGACACAATATCTTGGCATCCAATTGATGATAGAACTACGGCCCTTCATTTCACAATTGAAGGAATGTTAATCAAACTACACACCTTAAAGTAAAAATAAAATGAGGGAAAAACAAAAAACAAAACTTGAGAAATAAATCTTTCAACTACTCATTCAAATTCAGTGGTCTATTCAGCAAAGTTGAATATTTCAAGGTCATGATTTCATTATCTCATTCAAGTTTGACTTTCAATGGGGATCTAAATCTTAGGCTTCATGATAATTAGTAAAAAAAGGATGACATGAGATGCAGAGACACCTTAGAAGATTCGAGTCAGCTCTATGAATGAATTACTTCGAATTCAAGTGTTAGGATTATGACGATTCGAGTTGAAACAGGAGTTTAAAGATAGGAGTGTAAACTGAGAACACCTGGCTTCAACTTTAATTTATTTTCTTTTCGTTTCAGGTCGCTGGAGGCCCCGGATCACTGCTGTCTGTTAGGGCGGTGAGTGAAAGCGTGCAAGATGAGAGGAGAGCGGCAGAAAGCAGATTAAAACAAAACAAAAACAAACAAAAAATAAATAGTAGAAAAGATGAAAAATAATGATCTAGATGATAATGAAATCTAACAACCCGCATTAAAAAAAAGGTTGAAATAACATTGTAAAACAAGAAACTGATCAAAATAAAGTTAAAAGGAAACCTATTAAAATTCTTGGATCAGAGGGATCAACATACTGCCGTTCACATAATGCATTGAGTTGAAGTTGACTTCTGATAGATAGATATGAAAAATGGATCAACTAGTTCCTGTACCGGGTGTCCGTAAAGTAACTGAAAAGTGGGTATAATTTTTGAACAAAAAAAGATAGAAGGTCGCGGTTTGTGGCATTCTTCATCATCCAGAGGGGGAAATTTTTCGATGGGAGGTTTTTCTTGGTGGACCCCCCTGGGGGGCCCCAAGGGGGGGCAACTTTCAAAATTCAAATAGCAACCCCCATTTTTTTAGACATGGTTAAAAAGAACTTAAAAAGACAAGAAAAATGACGCAAATAAAATTAAAATCGGTTCACTCGTTCAAAAGTTACAGCCGGTCAAAGTTTTAAATTGACAACTTTTCCAAAAAATCACCGTTGAGCTCCCTATTACCGAAAAAACAAAAACAGACCTGGAATGAAAAGTTTGAAAAGTGCTCTTTAAGGCAAGGATAACCAACTGACGTTGTCACAAGTTTGGATGGAATTGTTTCAAAATAAAATTTCGGAAAATTCAACATGGCGGCAAATTTGAGGAAACGCGAATAATGAAAATTCCAGAAACTGTTATCTTTCAAATACCCTCTAGTTTAAGGAAATCAATGGTATCAACTTTTTTTCCTTTATTTGGCCAAGTAAGAGCAATAATTTGCTGACTTGAAAGTTGGCAAGTGGGACCCCTTCAATCGTTGGAGTATGCAACATCACATGCACAGGATTAAGTGTGCTGTCAAAAAATGAAGCCGATGTGAAAAAGCGCTCCTCCTTTGGGATGCTTTAGTAATGTTCAAGGTCCTCATTCTCAAAAAAGAAGAAGAGAAAAATTGAGCAATTTTTTTATTTTTATTATTTTTTAAAGTGGAAGTTTTTATACCTGATGCTCTGTTATTCCGTCAAATGTTCAAAGTGATCTTCATTTTGCTGCAAACAATAGTAAATTTACAATAGTAATTGCCAACTAAATCAGAACGCAGTATGATCAAGAGAACTTAGCATACTGATTTCAGATTCGTAAACAGTGTTACCGATCAGATATTGCATTAGATATTACCTAAAATATCGGTTCCTCAAATCATGAGGTTGAGGCTGTCAATAAGATAATCTCAACTCAGATAATAATCAAGAGTAGAACGGCGTTTTCGGAATTGAAAGCGTAGCAGATATCCTTCTTGCCAACTCGGAGTGCCAGGAATTAGAGAATCATAATTATTCTTGCGTTTTCAATTTTCAGATAGAGAAATGTCAAAAATGTCAACCGCCCCTACCCCATCAGGATATACCATGTTTTTTTTTGGCTCACCAAGTTTGTGGGTACAAATTGCTTAATTTCTCTTTTCTTCTTTTTTGAGGATGAGGACCTTGAACATTACTAAAGCATCCCAAAGGAGGAGCGCTTTTTCACATCGGCTTCATTTTTTGACAGCACACTTAATCCTGTGCATGTGATGTTGCATACTCCAACGATTGAAGGGGTCCCGCTTGCCAACTTTCAAGTCAGCAAATTATTGCTCTTACTTGGCCAAATAAAGGAAAAAAAGTTGATACCATTGATTTCCTTAAACTAGAGGGTATTTGAAAGATAACAGTTTCTGGAATTTTCATTATTCGCGTTTCCTCAAATTTGCCGCCATGTTGAATTTTCCGAAATTTTATTTTGAAACAATTCCATCCAAACTTGTGACAACGTCAGTTGGTTTTCCTTGCCTTAAAGGGCACTTTTCAAACTTTTCATTCCAGGTCTGTTTTTGTTGTTTCGGTAATAGGGAGCTCAACGGTGATTTTTTGAAAAGTGGTCAATTTAAAATTTTGACCGGCTGTAACTTTTGAACGAGTGAACCGATTTTAATTTTATTTGCGTCATTTTTCTTGTCTTTTTAAGTTCTTTTTAACCATGTCCAAAAAAATGGGGGTTGCTATTTGAATTTTGAAAGTTGTCCCCCCTTGGGGCCCACCAAGAAAAACCCCCCATCGAAAAATTTCCCCCTCTGGATGATGAAGAATGCCACAAACCGCGACCTTCTATCTTTTTTTGTTCAAAAATTATACCCACTTTTCAGTTACTTTATGAACACCCGGTATAATTATTATAATGGGGCTGTTGCAAGATCTAGGAAATCCCTTGAAAAAGGGTGTTTCTAATGTATTTTCAGCAAGAAATGTGTATCCGAGTTTTGAAAAGCTCAAAATGGTTTTTTTGCCGGGAAGAAAAGAGACTTAAAGTTTAAGTTGGAGAAATAAAATTTCTCACTGGCCTGGGGCTTATGATGTCACATGTCGCAACGCCCGATGGTTCAAACCACATTGAATTCAATGCAACATGGCTGTACAAACAAAATCATGAACAAACAATTTTGTTAAAAGAAAAAAAAAAAAAAAAAAACACGAACATTAACTTTAAACCTCAATAATAAAACAAGCATGATCAAGATACACAATTTCTTTTTTCAATTGCAACCTGAAAGTAAATAAATCATCGCAGGTGAAATGATACACACCAGCCATTTCTCCTTATGCCGTCATAAAATCCACAGGCAAGATATTATTCTGTTTGAAACAGGGTTGGATTTTTGAAGACTCCAAAAATGTTTTCCTTTGCTATGATTTAATTTAATGAAAAAGGAAAAATGAAGGCATTTTCATTTTTTATTTGCTTTTGTACAACAGCCCCTCTCCCCAATAACTTTTGAGATTCAGGTTCTTTTTTCCTAATTGAGATAGAAGTTTGAAACTTCGGCAATGTTCCTCGGTTTAAGGTAGCAACTTTTGGGTCTCCCCAAAATTTTGGGGGGGGGGGGCTAACTTTTTTTTCCAAATAGCAACCCCCCTTTTGTGATACCTTATTCGAAAGGTAATAAAAAAGAAAAATGTTGGCGCAAACCGCAGGTTAAAATGTTGTTTTTTGACAAAATGGCGGCCGGTCAAAGTTCATAATGGCGGAAATTTGGCATCTCCGTTTTTTATCAGCGGATTGGTCTAAAACTCAGAATCTTCGGGTTTTTCGGGACGAGAAAAACGATACTGGCATTAGTTTTCCAGAAATATCAGTCCTTTTCAAAATGGCGGCTTAGAGCGGAAAGTGGATATTTAGGCTGCTTATCGTCGGATTTGTATGAGACTTGCATCCGGGGGTATTTCCGCACGAGAAGAACGCATCTTTCATTGAATTTTTGAATTTTTGGAAAACTTTAATATGGCGGCGGAAAATGACGGAAAATTCACATCACGGCTGTTTACCGATGGATTTGCACAAAAGTCAATACTCTGGTGGTTTTTGGCTCGAAAAAAATTAATCTTTCATTAGATTTTTGAAACACTGAATATCGTCGAAATGGTGGCGGAAAAATAACGGAAAATCCGCATCCACCATCGCCATTCGCATTTTCTCTGCTATTTTGAAGTTTTTAAAAAATTCAAAAATGCAATGAAAGATTCGTTCTTCTCGTGCCGAAATACCCCTGGATATCAAGTCTGATACAAATCCGACGATAAGCAGCCTAAATATCCACTTTCCGCTCTAAGCCGCCATTTAGAAAAGGACTGAAATTTCTGGAAAACTAATGCCAGAATCGTTTTTCTCGTCCCGAAAAACCCTAGGATTCTGAGTTTCAGACCAATCCGCCGATAAAAAACGGAGATGCCAAATGTCCGCCATTTTGAACTGTGACCGGCCGCCATTTTGTCAAAAATCAACATTTTGACCTGCGGTTGGCGCCAAAATTTTTCTTCTTTAATTATCTTTTGAATTAGGTGTCACAAAAGGGGGGTTGCCATTTGAAAAAAAAAGTTAGCCCCCGCCCCCCACAATTTTGGGGGGACCAAAAAGTTGCTACCTGAAACCGAGGAACATTCCCAAAGTTTGAAACTTCTATCTCAATTAGGAAAAAAGTTATAGGGGTGGTAGGTGACTTTTGAATTTTTATAATCATTATAGTATTCTAAAAAGTCTTCAGGTGTATGATTTAAATTCATTAACATAGCAGGTTGTCGCGACCTACACCGAAAGCTGGACAATACTGATCTTCGCTTTATTTTGAGCACAGCCTCCTCCCCCTCTAAGAGGAGTTCAAATCCTAAACGAATATTTTCACCACATTAATTTATGTGTAACCTTCAAGAGTATTACAACCTTAAAAAATCCAAAGTCTACTTTTATCAAGTTAGCTCTTAGATTAGGTTTTCAGCGTATATGATGAAATACTTGTCTCAGTGAGCTAAATTTTTCTTGTCCATGCCCAAAAGTAAGAGGGTAATGTCTTCGGAATCCAACAATGGTTTTTTGTAAAGCATTGGCCTGTTTACTAAGGGTGATTAACTGGATTGTGTCATGCAAAAACCGCTGATGTCCATTTTTGGCAATTTTAAGATATTTCGGTTGTAATACTCTTGAAGGTTACACATAAATTAATGTGGTGAAAATATTCGTTTAGGGTTTGAACTCCTCTTAGAGGGGGAGGAGGCTGTGCTCAAAATAAAGCGAAGATCAGTATTGTCCAGCTTTTGGTGTAGGTCGCGACAACCTGCTATGTTAATGAATTTAAATCATACACCTGAAGACTTTTTAGAATACTATAATGATTATAAAAATTGGCCAGTAGCTGAAGCAAATTACTCCTTTAATGAGAAAAGGAATGAAAGTGAGCCAGGAAAAGTATAAGGAGCTATTAATCTGATCTTTGGCAGACTTGTTTCAACAGAGATTAAAGTTCTTCTTTATGTTCTTTCCAATTGTTTTCCTCTCAGAAAATACTTTTTGTTAATTTTTTAAAAAAAATTGTTCTCAAAAATCTAGGTTTTTGATGTTTTAAAACCAAACACGCAAAAATCATGCAAAAACCGCTTAAGTCCAGCTAATTGTCGGTAGCTTTGTAATAAAACTTGTTTAAAAGACCACAATTATCAAGAATTTCATTTTTTTAACTTCATTTCAATAATATTCTACTGTTTTAATCTCTTTTGGATGAATTTTAAATATTTCAAACAGCTTCAAAACTAGGTGATTTTCACATGTCATGCGAAAACCGCAAATGTCCAGTGTCCCTTGTTCGCAATTACTCCGTTTAAGACAGAAGAGAAGCCGGAGACAGTCCTGAATCCTTTACTAAATTCCACTCCTATAATAGTTAACTTCCAAACATTTATTAATCCGCTATTATAAAGGCTTGTACAGTTTTATTCAGTTTTCTTAAAGTTACAGAAAATTGACATTAGTGGTTTTTGCACCACGCAATTCAATTGGTTGATTTTAGTTTATTTGCAGGTGGAAAGTTAAAATTTACTGATTCTGATGTACACTAATAAGTGTTAATTTTATCTATATCCATTGTATTTGGACAAGTTTCCAGTTTCAATTGTGCAATGAGATTTTGATGAAGAAGCACATCCTGTGCTACTACCATCTTACTGTGTTCAGTACTTCATTTAGTAGGACGACATTGAAGACAATAAAGCTTGAGACTTCTCAGACATTGAAGTTTCAGCTGAAGGACTTGAAATAGTGATTATACTTAGATCCGTCCTTTACTTCTTTCTATAGAATGTGTTACATGATTAAATTGAGACCTGCATATTAAAATGTGGATATAACAAGCCATTACTTATATTCTGCTCCAATCTAGCTATCCTTGTCCCAAAACGTTTTGAGAATTTCTTTCCTCTAAGGCAAACACTCAAAATTTTGGTCGCGACAGCCGAGTTATTCACCACTACTCCAACTCACAGCCTTAATCTTAACATCAAAACTGATCATAGACAGCGGGGTACACAAGAAACTCCTGCACTTTTTGATTGGAAATGACCGCTTTCAGGCATTATTTTTATGGTCATAAGAAGCTCTTTTAGAAGGGGAAGACTCAAGGATCCATGCAGAAACCAAGGTGGTGGCCGTTAAAATTGGCCACCAAGCGTTTTTTCAGCGTGCTATACCTCCGAAACTACAAGCCCAATTTCTGTTTCTTATATCCTCCTTTTCCCGACTTTCATTATTTTCAAATATCTTACTTCTGAAATAGATTTCAACAATTCTTGTTTGTCGAATTAAAAAGATTCACTACTGATGGGNTACCAACTAATCACTACGGGGGTCGAGATAGGGTTTATTCAATCGAAATTCACAACTTGTCGCTCCTCTGACGTAAGGGCGTATCTGTTTCTGCGTGAGCCGTGAAAAACATGGAGTTATATGGTGAACAGAGCTCACATAGAAATTGAGATACGCCCTTACGTCAGAGGAGCTATGAACTATGCGGAGCGCATATCATATTATAAAGATTTTTGCTGAAGAGTTTTGTATCTCGAACAAATTTTCTCCTCAGGACCTTTATGATACGTGCACAAACATTGACTTACGGCACATGATATCCAAGGACATAATACAGTACTGCCTAACTTTCAGTGACAGACCGGAGTGTTAATTAATTACGGATTTTAAACTCATGTTGATATTCTTTCAAGATTTACAAAGGAACCGAAAATTTTCGGTTCTTTTGAAAAATACCAGGAAAAGTTGGAAGTAAACCGCGAGTGTATCTGTTAGACTCCTTAACTTTGAACATAGCTTCTAAACAAGCCCAAAATAATGAAAATTGGACGAGAATGTGCCGAGATATAGCGCACGTATGACTAGCATAGCACATTAATTGCCCGTACTGCGCCGTTTTTACCGCGCATCGTGACGCTTCACTTAAATTGCTCCAGCAACTGCATTTTTTGACGCAAAAAATTGTTTTGGTATCAAATTAAATGTGAAATAATTTCCCATTGCCACTACTGAAGGCAAAAAAGCCATTTTCTTGCATGTTTAATAGTTACACGCTCTTGAAATTGGAGTGAAAATTCAAAATTTTGAACTTTTCCTTAAGACCATTCATGTGTGCCTTGGGCGAAAAAATTTATGCGGTAGACTTCTGTAGCAGCATTTTAGCTTCACAGCAAGACCAAGAAAACGAAAATCGGACTTGTAGTTTCTGAGATATAGCACGCTGAAAAAACGCTTGGCGGCAATTTTTAACGGCCCCCATCTTGGTTCCTGCACGGATCCTTGAGTCTTCCCCTTCTAAAAGAGCTTCTTCTGACCATAAAAATAATGCCTGAAAGCGGCAATTTTTGATAAAAAAAATGCAGGGTTTTGGCTATTATTCAATCGTACCCTGCCAACTATCAAAGCCTTTTTCCTTTGGTCCTCAGTATCATTGAATTGAAGAAGGAAGAGAGAGATGATGATATCATCTATCTATCACTTTAAATCCTTTTCAGGCTTAGTAAGCATTACAAAGACGCGTATCATTCTTCATCAGATCGCCCCAGTTTCTAACATGACAAAACCATCTTTTTGCACTGATTTTAGTAGGATAAAAGAANGGGGGGGGGGGGGAGCAACAAGTCACAATTCCATTGTTTTAGTAAAATAAAATGAAGACAAAAGTTGAAGTAAAATAAAATAACCAAGACAAGTTTAAATGGCAATCAAAACAGTTAATGTATTTTAATAGGTGGTGCCACTCAGCCACAACGCATTCCAAGATCTAGCAAACCAAAAAGTTCAGATTTTTTATTTTATTGTTCCTCACACGCGGTTCCATAAATACCATGGATGATACTTCCCTATTTGAGTCACACCTTTCATAGCTGCTTCACTACAAGATACCTTCACAGTGATCACAACAATAATGAAATAGGACACCTAAAAGTAAGAAGCGGCATATGTCATGGTAAAAACAGAATATTGGAGGAGTTGAAATTTTTTGGAGTCATCTCCTTTAGAGTAAAGAACCCTGCACCATCCTTATGGGGAAATCCCCCCCCCCCCGGTCAAATCTGATGAAACTTTTAATTTGTTGCTCAGCTGGTCATTCTGATCATCTCTCACGGGCCGAAAGGGATTGTAGTATAACAATAGAAATGGTCGCACTAAATTTAAAAGTCCCGCTCCTTCCTCTTGGCTGAGCTGACGTCACTTCCGCCAACCGGTCAGAGGCGTCGATGACGTCAGCTCAGCCAAGAGGAAGGAGCGAGACTTTTTTTGGTGCGACCATTTCTGTTGTTATCGTACAGGATACTATGTGCCGTTTTCGAGATATTCGCCGTTTCATATATACGTGTACGGAGGTTCCGGCGGCCGAACCATTGTGCGGCGCTACTCGCACCTTTCCCTTCTGGTCCACTCCAGTTCCTCTGTTCCCCGCCACCAATACCCGAGGCTCGGAATCCGACGCTCACGAGGCTTTGCTCATCGTCACTAAACCGGGTGGTCTTATCACCACCAAGATGACTGGCTGAGCAACATATCAAAGTTTCATCAGAATTGACCGGGGGGGGGGGGGGGGGAGAGAGATTTCCCATAAGGATGGTGCAGGGGTTCTTCCCCTGGGATTTTTAGGAAATCAAATTCTTTTAAGTTATGGAGCTGATGCCAAAAGGTGTTTGTTTCAACTTCGTTGGGAGACTGTGGATTGCTTCTTTCCTGCCATACAAGCATTTCACGGATGTGAGATATGTGCAGGTCATGAGAAAGCTTCTATCATTTGGAAGGAAAAACTTTGAGAGGGTTAAATTAAGTCAAAGAAGTTCATAGAAGAATCTTGAAATCCCAGCCAAAGGTTTCCTAGCCAAATAGGCATTTGCCGATACACAAAGATTGGGTTTCAGACTCCTATGATGGGCTTGGCGCGATTATAGGACATTTAAATATTGGAAAAGGCTGTTAATTTATCTGTATTTTAGATTGCAGCAGACCCCTTACCTCGCACTGGCTCCCAAGAGAAGAAAGATGACGAGATCAATGAGAAAAAAACATTCATAATTAACAAACTGAATGAGATTGACACTCGTTTGTTTGAAAATATTGTAAAGTCAAAGTCTGGTGACCTATGACATCAATGCAGATGCTCAGGTTTTGAATCATACTTATCACAGCCAGTCAAAGAGCAAAGTCTACAACCAAATTAAAGGATGTTAAGTTGGATAAAACTATCAACAACAAGCACTTGTAAGACAGATGCTACGACAAGCAGATCTAAACACAAAAGCAAGAGGAAACACGGACATTTTGCATCAAACTACTGACTTGGTTTGCTTGTCTGGCGTCGGCTGCGTTGCACTTGGTTGGGCATCTGGTTGGTAAAAATCAGAAATATTTGCTTTAGTAGCGAAAGAGTTACGTACTGGTTGCTCAGACTCACTTAGCAGCTGCAAAGCTGGGTAGCTACGCTCGGCTGCGGCATTCCGATTTAATCTTAAACTAGTTCGCCTTTCTTGAAGCGCTTCACCTGTTGTTCCTCGTCCTCGAGTGGCTAAAAGAAAATCAAAATAGATTAAAAGTTAATGATGACGATAAATTAAGGTTTTAAAAATTTATTTTTTACTTATTATTCATGTTTGATAACCATCAAAACATAATTCCGTGACCAGTGTAACTAATCCATTCCTCAAAATACTAAAAATCTTAAGGCAAGTGGCTTCATTAATTATTTGAAAACTCATCAAGAGCTTTAAAAATTGATTTTAGGTTTTTTTCATTAAACCCCTCCTAATAGAGTTATTGACCACTAAAAAAATACCGCTTTGGTCCTGACCTCCTATATTTGCGACGTTGGGTAATACGGTATTTTTGTAAGCGGTCAGTAACTCTATTAGCCACTGTGACGTCATAACCAAGCACGTACGATACTTTTTTTCAAAGATGGAACTTCCTATAACTCAAGAACCACGCGTCTTGGAGGATTTTGGTAAAGGACTTTTCTGTTTGTTTCGAGCCATAGAACAACCCCTGAAAGTTTGTCGCCTCTTACTTGGTACACCCTTTATATCATGCCTTTTTGATTCTGTACGTTTATTTATGTGGTACCTTAGATTTTTGTCCAAACTGCCTATGGAAGTTTGGTACTGTGCGGCAGGGGTCGGGCGTCTGGGCGCCGGGAGGAGGGGGCTACTGCTGCGGGGAGCGATCGGTGAGCCTCCGCCGAGCGGTGCGCGGGAGGGCCATGGGTCAGTTATAGTAGTCACAGAATCGTGTTTTGATGCTGGATTCTTGCAGAGGAGCATAAAATAATAAGATCTGCTTGAACCACAACTTTCTACGTTCAATATAAACCGAGATATTGCCCTTTGAAAAGTCAGGCTCTTGACGTCAGCCACCGCAGCTGTGACACCCTTGGTTTCTTCCTCTTTTGTTCTATCAGTGATATACCTAGAGGGTGCAACGTGAAACTTCAACGACGTTGAACGTAAACAAACTGAGGTGAACTGACTGACTGCCTAATCTCTTCGTGGCGAGTGCTTTACCTTATGATAAGAAGATCTTGAGAGTGCAAATCCGTCTATTTCTTGAGTTTCTTAACGTTTAACATCATGCAAGTTTCCCATTGCACCCTCTGCATCACTGATTGAACAAAAGAGGAAGAAACCAAAGATGTCACTGCCGCAGTAGATGACGTCAAGAGCCTGACTTTTCAAAGGGCGATATCTCAGTTAATATTGAACGTAGAAAGTTGCGGCTCAAGCAGATCTTATTATCTTCAGCTATTCTACAAGAATCAAGCATCAAAACACGATTCTGTGACCAGCACAACTGACCCATTTTCCGCGTCAATTTCGTGCTCACGATCAGATGTAATATATTGAGATGATATGCCCATGATGCAAGAAAAAAACTATGCCTCATACGTGTTCTAGTAACAATTGTACCTCACTATCACTAAATTTCTGCAACCCAGAGGCTATTTTTCACGAATGAATCTAGACATTCCTAAGCTTCAATGACACTTGGATGTACCTATACAAGTTGATATAAAAATAGTGACTGCCTGCATATGAATTGGACTGCATTTTGCAATTTGGAACTATAAATTCTGGCCCGGTTTAAAAACAATGTATGTGCCATTAGTTTCCCCATGCACATGAGTGTTTTTTCAGATGAGCGAGAATTTATAGTTCCAAATTGCAAAATGCAGTCCAATTCATACATTGAGTCAGTTAAGCTCGGGAGGGATCTGCCTGCATATAGTCAAATCTTACAGTTTTCGGTGCGTGACGAACGATGCACACGTTAAAATTTAACGAAAAATTGACCCTGCGGAGATATAACACTTCCTTTTTAAGGGTCCTGGTAAACATGTTTGAACCGACCTCCATGAATCTTCGAATCTACGCGTCATAGACGGGAAGATGGCGGCGACGAAGCCAACCTGCTTACTACCGCCACGCCGCCGTTATTGACATCACGATTTCTCGTTTGAGGTTAAGTAAGTTCTGTGTGAATGTATCATATAAATCTGTATCGCTTTCTGATTGAAAAACTTAAAGAATTAAGGTGAATCTTCAGCTGTAATTCTGAAAAAATTCACCACGTTGTGCTGCTAAAATCCGGCTCCGAAATCAGTGACTATTTAAATATCACGATAGATATAATAAATTCTAAGACACATAAGTTCTAGCAGCATACGTCTGGGATGCTTAGAAACAAACGCGAGCTTTAAAAGTTTAATAATAAATGCCATAACTTGATCCCAGTTGCTCTAACGGGATATCTGCAAGTGCGAGAGAGATAGCTCACAGTGAAAGAGATATCTGCAACTGCTGGGAGCGATCAATCACGATTGATTGCATCAAGGTCATCCTGCTTAGCCCTACTTTCTTCTGGGATCAAGTTTCAGAGCTTCAGAAATTACTTTTCAAGTCTTTTTTAGTGTCAATAGGAAGAAGAATGTTATGGCTAGAACTTATGACTCTTCAATTTTAACAGAAATTCCTTTAACTTTCATAAAAGCTCAAGAACTCATGTGGGGCTGTACGGACTCTTGATAGCTTGGACCAAAAAATCAAAACACAGCGGTGGCGCTCCCTGTGCAGAGAAAATTCTTACTACGCACCGCTGAAGATTCACTTTAAGAACAATGGGTATAAATCTCGAACAAAGTAACCAACATAACCTCCAATTGACCAACAAAACCACACTGCCAACGTGATGCCACCGCACAGTGGGAAAAACAGCCAATCTCGCGCCGAAAAAGTCTTGATGCTCCATCTTTCACTTTCCAATTAGTTTTTCACACTTAATCGTTATTATATATCTAACTAAACACTGTAAAGAGCATACTGCGCCAATTTTTTGTAAATATAATAGCTATTAAGCCAAATTTAGTCAAGTAATCACCTATAATTTACTTCCCATGAGATTGTGTTTTGGTTTGTGGTCGTTCTGATTTGTCAGCGGAGTTAAAATATAATATTTCACATCATTTATGCTATTGTTGGTTACTTTTCTTCCTTATACAGTGTACTCATCTCATTTTCCACCTTTTCTGATGTGCCTAAAGTGTGAGCGTTTCAAAATGAAGATTTGAGAGAGAATGAAAGTAATCAGCAACTTATTACTAAAGATGTTAATGGATGAAAATGCAATAATAAACATACTGAGGAGGGAAAAATGCTTGAAATTTATAAATTTCGACAAAATTCAATGCACGATGGAATGGTCATAACTAATTCATGTATAAATACTTGATCTAATTTTTTTCTAATTCTTGTTAGGATAACAAATAAATTACAAACATTTAAATTATCACTATAAGGGATCTTACACAGGATACTTAATTTGAGAAATATCATCATTTTACAAATGCATTTTATTTTCACAAAAGTGGAGTTAGGTATTGTTGTTACTCAGAAATTTTGGCAATTAATTCCTTTTGCTTGATGCACCTGATGTTTTATTTCTAAAGACTTAATGTAAAGTAAAACCACTTATCAAATGCTGCAATGAGCATGAATGCAGAGGGTATTTATAGTGTGGCAAGTGTCGACTTAAAAAAGAAAATTTGCGCTGGGTTGATAAATCAAAATATTACCACCGGGTAGGATCAAACTCAAAACCTTCTCCCCGGGAGTGAGAGCCTCTGCCAACTCACAAAGGGAGCTTCCCAAGTGTAACCGGCATTTCTAGTTAAAATTTCGCATGAAGATACTAGAGATGATTTTAAGGATGCCGTATTTTTTCGTTTTTTCGAATGGGGTCGGGAAAGCCTTCAAAAATGGAGCGAAAGATGCGGAAAAAACGCGTGCGCTAGCGGCACAAGATAAAGATAGGTGACAAAGGCGTTCCGTCCTTATCAGAACCGCATGGCCAAACGGGTGCGCGCTCGCCTCGCAGGTGGGTATAGCCCCAGGATCGGATCCCGATTCCGGTCCGTAATTTTATTTTCGAAGTATCTGACTGATACTTCAAAAATTCAGCTTGGCAACGAAATTTGGTGAGTTTCAGAGTGTTTTGTTTATTCAATTATATATGACGTTTCAATCCAACAGAAGTAGGGAGAAAATGATGATTTGACCAGGTAAAAAATCCAATAAAAATCGTACAGCGTTGCATGATGGTGCAGAAAAATATGAATTAAATTACAGTGTTGTATAGGGATTATTATTCAATATGGCAACGCTGTAAAGTAAAAGTATTGCATGTTGCCCCTTCAATAATCGGGTTATGCAATCGTGTAATGTAGCCCCTTCAATCTGCGGTTTATGCAATGGTGTATTTTTCAAGATGGCGCAGCAGCGTTGCCGGACGGTGCACTTAAAGAAATGATTGAATTATTGGTGAAATTTAGCAACATCGCATTTTACAGTGTTGCCAGATGGGGTGAGAAATTAGTTAATTTTTCGATACAATGTTGCCAGATTGTGCAAAAAATTCGGATTTTCGGACTTGTACAAATTTTCGGTTTCGGAAGACCGTATCTAACAGTATGGGCCTGGTATCGGATACTGTAGATTAGGGTCTGATCCGGGAAATTGAAAAATTTTCGGAAAATCACCCTCCTCCGATCCGTTGCGGATCGATGCGATTCTTTTCTACTTTCGAAGATCGGAAAACTGTACGGATCGAATTTCGATACGACTTTTCGTTTCCGAGATTTCGGACTTGTAAAATTTTCGGCTTCGAAAGACCGTATTTTACAGTATGGGGCTGCTATCGGAGACTGGAGATTAGGGTCTGATTCGGTAATTTACATTTTTTAGCGCTTGGAGATGCGTACGGGAACCTTGCGACTGGGATTGGGTATTGCAATATTCAGTTTGATGAATCAAAAATTTTTTTTGGATATTTACAGTTACAGTTTAAAATAGTTCGCGTTGCATACTATTTATACGAAATCCTTACTATCGATCCACCTGTTGTGACTCGCGTCCAGACCCAACCATTTGACAAAGGCCTGGTTTTTTTTGCAACGCAGAATTTTCTCCACCAGGAACGTATCCTTATAGTTGGTGGGTTGGAGTTCTTCGCGGTAGAATT